AGATATAGGGCCAAAGACGAGTAGGCAATTACTAAGAGTGGTGCAGAATAAAGAAAATTTTGATATAGTGATCACAAATCTTCAGTAATGGAGTGCACCAGAAGAAGCAGTTTTTATTATGTTAAGCAACTAGTATTTATTCGGAGAGAATAGTGTCAGAAATTGGTAACATATGATGACAATAGATGTAGGTTAACTTCTGAAAATGCAGAAAAGATCCCATTTATTCACCACAATCTCAATAAAATAAGTTATTAATATTAATGTTCGGTTTATATTTTTTATATGTATCTGTAGAGTAGGGAGGACGAGTTAAGTTTTACAGCACTTAGACCACAATTGACCCATTGTGCATCCTCCCAGGGAGCTGTCACCCTTAGCTCATTGTCCATCCTGCCATTTCTAGGAAGGTGGACAAGTCACCAGGAGACATCTCACTTATGTGGGCAGGTGTGGGCCATGACTCGCCGAACGCGTACTCTCGTATTAACGATAACTCTGGGCATTCACATAGGACATGCTCTACAGTTTCGTCTTCTCGTTCACACTTCCTACATAGAGGTGTGTCTACTAGCCCCAGTGTGTGGAGGTGTTTGCTTAGTTGACAATGACCAGTTAAAAAACCAACTGCCAAACGTAGATTTTTCCTCGTCATTCCCAAGTACTTCTTTGATGTTGACTTTTCAAGGTTACTTAGTGTTACCCTGGCAAGTTTACATCCTTTCCCTTCTTCCCATCTTTTCACGGTTTGCGTATGGGAGTGACATTTGACAATTTCCGCGATTGTTGTAGTTGACCAACCAAAAAGATCCCAGGTCCTAAGAGTTTTAGGCCTGCCGCCTTCCTAGATAATTGGTCAGCAATGCGGTTGCCTTTATTCCTATTGTGTCCTTTAACCCACTTCAGGATGATGGTATTACCATCCGAAGCTTGAGTTAGTGACTCGTGACACTCCATTACTAAACCTGATGTGACACGTGGTCTATTCAAGGTTAGTAGCGCTTGTCTGCTATCTGTGCAGATCATTATAGTTTTCCCTGCTATACCTTTTTGGGTTATCTCTTTTGCGGCTATGGAAAAACCAGTCAGTTCTGTCTGAACTACACTGGCATTTTTGCCCATAACCCACTTTATTCTTAGGTTCAGTGATCTGGAGTATATCCCGCATCCTGAGCCTTCTTTCATTTTGGAGCCATCGGTGTATATGCAGTAGGCATTTAGTCATGTATGGCAGTCTCCATATACTGTCTTGTTTCAATTCTGTAGGGTTTGTTAAAGACGAACTTTGGTTCAATTGAGTCGCAGCCTGCCTGTAGTACTGGTAACGCATCCAGCTCTCCCCGCCAGAAAAGAGTTCTCAATTGTCCCATTCCTACATCAAGGTTTGCACCAGCTGAGCGCAGTCGCATCATTGTCACTAGAGCCACCTCTTTGGCATATATATCTAGAGGCGTGATGCCAATGATCAACTCCATTGCAGCAGTTGGTGTTGTTTTCATGGCACCTGTTATATTTATGCAAGCCATCCGCTGAATATGGTTTAGTTTGTTAATCGCTGTTGCCTGTAGCACTTTTGGTACCCAAGCAAGAGCTCCGTAAGTTAGCATTGGCCTAATGACAGCGGTGTAGACCCAGGTGCATCCAACCGTTCGTCGACACTGTTCATAGGCAATATATGCTCTTTTAGCTCTACCATCTAGGTGTGAGTTCCATGTTAACTTCCTATCAAGGGTAATACCAAGGTACTTCACCTCGTCAGAAAAATTTAGACTGTAGTTTAGAATCCTTGCGGGTATTAAGCCCGTGATTCTCCTTTTCCTGGTAAAGAGGACCATCTCTGTTTTCTTAGGATTTATAGATAGTGAGTGTTCCTTGCACCATGTTTCTATTAGTCGAAGAGCAACTTGTGATCTCTCACATAGTGTGTTCTCAAACTTACCGCTTTGCGGGACAGCAAAATCGTCTGCATAGGCTATTGTGTAGAAACCGTTGCTGTTGAGTTGGTCAACCAGGGTGTCTAGAACTATGTTCCATAGTTGATAGCACCCCTCCCTGTGGACATCCCCTCGTAACCATGCCTCTAACAGAAACGTCTTCTACATTTATGCTTATTGCTCTACTAGAGAGCATACTAAATATTCATTTGCTTATGGCCAGGGGAACATTCCTAACGTTGAGCTGTTGGGTATAGTTGGGAATGTGGTTTTGTCAAACGCTCCCTCAATGTCTATGAATATACCTAGGGTGGATTCTTTATTATCCAGCAATCGTTTAATTCTTCCCACTACATGATGCAGTGCAGAATCGGTAGATCTTGATATCCAGTCCCCACCGTAGTAGGGCTGGATATATGCCGTCAGGCCCTGGTGATTTGAAAGGGGTGAAGCATGATATGGCCCATTTTACCTTTTCCTCATTAATCATTGCACTTGCACTTCTAAGCAAGGCTGAACAGTGGTTCAGTGGAAATCGATTGTTGCTTAATACTGATAAGACAGTTTTTGTCCACTTTAGAACCAGCCAGTCACGAGAACAGTTTCCAGATACAATTAATTTTCTATCAGAAAACACGGAAACTGCTAGATCAGTTAAATTTCTTGGTATCCATATTGACCAGAATCTGAATTGGGGGGAACAAATACAAAATACAACAAAAAAACTGAATAGAGCCTGCTACTCATTAAGAGTGTTAAAGAGCTATCTGGACCAGGGGATTTTACTATCAGTATTTTATGCAAACTTTTATTCTGTTATGCGATATGGAGTAATCTTCTGGGGTGCTGCAGTAGATAGCTCAACTGTCTTTATAGTCCAAAAAAGGCAGTCCGGGTGATCTTAGAACTAAAGGCGGGAGAATCGTGTAGAGGCCGATTCAAGTCACTCAATATACTCACTTTCTCAGCCAGCTATATATTTGAATGTATTATGTTCCTTTTTAAAAATTTTTCTTTGTTTTATCACCTGCTTCCCAATCATGAATATAGTACAAGAAGCCGTAACTTGAATTTGGCACTTCACAGATTGTCTATAACAGAGAGAAGTCCTTTGTATGCGTGTGTTAAATTTTATAACAGTCTACCATCTGACATTAAACAGGAAACACACTATAGAACTCTTAAAAGAAAGGTTTTTCAACACCTAGTTGACATTGAGCCCTATACTGTGGCGGAGTGCCTGGCCTATCCTTCTCCTTAATCAGCATATTTAATTTGTAATGTTAATGTATTTTAAATGTGTGATGTCAATAAATATATATATATATATATATATATATGTTTGTTTTATATATATATATATATATATATATATATATATATATATATATATATATGTTTGTTTTTAAGTTTCCGCGGGAGCTATATGTGCTGTCATTACTTTTCCGCGTTACAACGCGAGTCAAACCCGGAAAAATAGTGACAGCATATATATATATATATATATATATATATATATATATATATATATATATATATATATATATATTTTAATTTGTAATTAATAATGTGACGATATTTGCTCAATCATGTTTAAAGATTTATGCAAATAAAATTTACTCTACTCTACTCATTGTTCTGGCGAGATGCCAGTCGTTTGTTGAGGGTATGATTGTTTCTTCCATCCGGTTTGGTGCTGTTGAGACACTAGAACCGGGAAAGTGTGTTTTCATCAGGACCTCAGCACTTTAGCGAAGGTTGGAAGTTTTGTTCCCATCTTCCTTCGTTAGTATGCCGATGTGGGTCCTTTGAGAGCGCTTTTTGTAGCCTGGAAGCCTGCGAGAAATCTTCGATTTCCTCACAGAAGGTTCTCCAAGCAGCTCTTTTGTCTGCAGACTTTTTTAAACTCTCCAAGATTTGATTGATAAGAATCCCAATCCTCTTTGAGTTTGGTGCGTTTCGCTCTATTAAAAGCTGTTCTTGCTATCTTTCTAAGGTGTTCCAATTCAGTGCACCACCAAGAGTTGGTTTTGTGACTTTCCTGGACCATCCTTATTGGACAGGATTTTTTATAAGCATAGCTTATTTTGTTTTGGATAGATACTGTATACCTTTCCAATTCTGTATTAGTTCCTGGAGTTAAAGCCTTTTCTTTCCACAGAGCATCTTCTAAGAGTCGGTTGTAGGACATAGAAATATCCTCCAATACCTGCCAGTTCTGAATCTTATTCGATATTTCAGCTGTTGCCAGCGTGATATCTATGACTGTTTGGCTACGAACATTAATAAAGGTAGGTTTGGTGCCCTTATTTAAGATATACAAATCTTTTATAATAATATAGTCATAAAGGGACTTACCTCGAGCATTGTTGTCTTTGTTGCCCCAGCCTAAGTGGTGAGAGTTCGAATCACAGCCAATAATAAGTTCTACTATCTGACTGAGACTTTTTTATATGTAGCTCAACCTATAAATATTTCTTAATAGTTTTAGTTCGTTATGCTTGTTTTTTTTTATTTATAAGATTTATTTCCAAATGTAGATTCAAGATCATGATGTTGATCAAACAGGAACAGTAGTTACAGCCAATTGGTTGGATTGGTGGTCACACCAGAATTCCTGTACATCCTTGAGATAATAAATTTATAAATGTTACTACAAAACTGTCTATAATAAGAATCCATTCTAAATTAAACATTTCTTAGAAACTACAAATTGAGCAATTATCAACTACAATCTTAGCTGTTTTATAAAATTTGTGCAAATTGTACCAATTTATCAGAATATCTTGTGTTTCAGAACAGAATTTCTTGTCAAATTAGTAAAAGTTAGACCTTCTTCACATTATCTTACAGCACTAAAAATCATTGGCTGGCTATGTTAATCCTTAACAAGTTGGACAAGAGTTGAACATATCAATAAATCCTTCTGTGAATTTCAAATTTGTATGACACTTTAAACAAGTTTGACACATCAACAAAGGCAACCATTATTTTCTCATTTTTGACATCTGATCACTATATCTGATATCAAAATCTGGTAAAAATTCAAGGTGTATTTCAATAAAAATATGGCTGATAACAAATCCATTTATTATCTTATATAAAAATTATACATAAATTTACTTTTTGGATTTCTTTTCTTTGCCTGCAGCAGCTTTTGTCACATCATCTGGATTTTCTGCAGCATCCTTAATTCTCTTAGCACGGATACCTACAAGTCTTGCATCAGCACGGGCCTTCCTCAATGTTATATATGCTTCGAATTTCTTTTCTTCCTCAGTTGGAACTCTAGCCTTTGTTCTGATACTTGCCTGTTTAATGGGGAGAACTTCTCCCTGTAATTGTGAAGCTACTTTACGTTCTTCTTCTGTTGCTTCACCAGCTCTTAACTTCTTCTTGTTGTGGATAGGGAAGAGGATTAGTTTGGATTTGTATTCTTTGAGACGTTGAGCATTCAGTTGGATTGATTCTACTGATTTGTTTCTTCGTCTGTGATCTACAGCAATACCTAAAAAGTAAAAGAGCATTTATTTACTGCTTATATATTACTTAAAATCTACATATTTTTAAATAAAATATGGTACAATTATTTATTAATTTTGCACCTTGGTAAATACAAACAAGAATTGAGAATTTCCTTTTTAAATCTAAATTAAAAATCAGTACAACATAGCAATTTTTGTTTGCCCCTATACCGCCAATTGCTAGAATCCATCATTTATTGTATTAAACCAGAGAATAGATTACCTGCCTAATATGAATGTTGATAATAGCTGTAATATACCAGACAAGAAAGAATACATGTAGACAAGAGAAATAGAGGGACAACATAGATGATAAAATGATATGGGCCAGTTAATGTTGAAAAATAGACAAATTAATGTATTCCATGACTTTTTGTATAAAAATGACAACCTTTAACTTTGGGAAATATAGGTTAGAGACAGTTAAAATCTACAGAAACAACTACAATCAAAAACAGAAAATGACACATACCTATCAATATTGTGTGTAGATGACACATGTTTAGGATATATGTAAAAGGTTTTGTCCATGTGGTACAAAACAAATAAATCTAAATGTCCTTCACTAGTTTGATTTAACCAGGAGTGTATATGGAAGTTGAACATATTAAACTACACATATAAAATACATATAAAATTTTCATGCATGTACCTACCTACAGTCCTTGCAAATCTGGGGTTAAGACCTGCTGCTTTTAATTCTTGGAGGGTAAATCCACGTCCAGCGCGTACTTTAGTATGGTACCTGATTGATGGACATCTTACAACAGGCCTTAAAGGTCCAGCAGCAGGCCTAGGGGCAATAGCACGAGCCTTCTTAATACGATTATTCCTTCTACGAATTTTACGGGCAGGCTGGTTAAACCAAGTCTTCACGAACCGTTGCCAATCCTTGTGGAAATGGCCATTTGGGATCATATTATTACGTTTGGGAGCCATTGTGCTTGTTTTTTACTATAACAGCACCGATTTCACCGACACGTGCTGTAAACGAAATGGAAAAGACGGAAACGAGTTTAGTTACTTTTAATTATTTTGTTGGTAGACATTGACTGACATATCGCCAGGCAATTTCTGAAGATCAGTATAAAATAAAGATATATTTAATTTATCTACAAGATTTCCCGCTAGATGGAACGCTATATCCTATATCACAGAATAATAAACAATTAGAATGCCCATTCACGTAGACGTTCCGCCGTGTTTTAAAGTGAACCAGTGCTGTTCAGTGAAAATTTATCTGGTGTGCATAGACAAATTAACCCGGTTTAATTTATTTATGGCAACTACAGACATAATATGCACTATTTTATTCCTACTTTTAGTTGAAGAGTAGATTAAATTATTTCAATTACTGAATTAATAATCTCTAAAAATTTAAAATACAGTTTTGTCATAGCTTGTCACAAATTTGTCAATTCGAGTCTATGTTTCCTTCTAAAACATGGCGATCGCGTGCTGAAAAACTTCAAAAGCAGCATCTGAGACTGGGCATTCTGATTGTTTATTATTCTGTGCCTTATCACATTATCACAGAATAAATAACAATCAGAATGCCCAATTGCCCACTCTCAGATGCCGCATTTGAAGTTTGTCAACACGCATCACCATATTTTAAATTTAAACATAGACTCGGATTGAGAAATTTATAATAAGCTATGATAGAACTGTAATTTAAATTTTTAGAGATGAATAATTTAGTACTTTTGAAATAATTTAATCTACTCTTCAACAAAAGTACGAATAAAATAGTGCATATTACGTCTGTAGTTGCCGTAAATAAATTAAACCGGGTTAATTTTTCTATGCAAACCAGATAAAATGTCACTGAACAGCACTGGTTCCGTCTGCGCGAACGAGATGCGCGAGCTTATCGTGACAAACAGAGTGGGCATTCTGATTGTTTAGGTTGCGTTTACCGAAAGTACAAGCGTATGCTTCAAAGATAAAGAGATAAAGCTTTTAAAAAGTACATTTTTATTATACTATTTTATGAATTCTGCAAGTTTTAATTTATATGAAGCAATAACGAGTAGATATTTGACTATTTCGAGATTAATTGCAAACATTTGTTGTAATATGGCAACTGCTGATTTGACGATTGCCAAATCTATCCCCTAGTCTATCAAAAGGTAATTATCTCTGGGTAATTGCTAAAAAAATGTCTAATAATTAACTGCAATTAATCTCCACAGAAACAAATATTTACTCATTGTTGTTTTATATAAATCAAAAATTTCAGAATTCATAACATAATATAAACAAAATGTACTTTTTTAAAGCTTTATCTTTTTATATTTGAAGCATACAGGATCTACAAAAACATGCCAACACTGCTATACAGAAATTTTTTGTTCCATATTTGACATTTGCGGCTATAATCAGCTTGTACCACAGAATAATAAACAAACAGAATACCCACTCTCCACGGAAAATTAAGTACGCGCATCTCCTCCGCGCAGACGTTCCGCCATGTTTTAGGAGGATTTTAAAGAAATTAGTGTTGTTTATGTGGTGTGCATGGAAAAATTAACCAGGTTTATTTGACTTACGGCAATCATAGACATACTATACAATTATATTAACATTGTTAAATATAATAACATAAATATAATATAATTAAACATAAATATAAACAATTACATAACCACACAAATCATATGTCTGTGTCCTCCTAAAACATGGCGCGCCTGTTGAAAAACTTCAAAGGCGGCATCTGAGAGTGGCCCTTCTGATTGTTTATTATTCTGTGCTTGTACTGTCGGCAAACTCAACGATTGTTTATTATTCTGTGCCTGTGTCACAGAATAAATAATAATCAGAATGCCCACTCTGATGTCGCCTTTAAAGTTTGTGAGCTGAGCACGCGATCGCCCTATTTTAGACGGAAACATAGACTGGAATCACATAATAAATAACAATCAGAATGTCCAGTCTCCGATGCCGCCTTTGAAGTATGTCAGCCATCGAGCAATAAGACAAAAGAGGGAATGTAAAGGTAGAAGGGGTAAACATATTGATAGACAGGAAGTGCCATCTTGAGAGGCCACTTTAGACAAGGATAGACAGTCTCTTTCCTTGTTTAAGAAGTCAAATTTAGTTTGGTTATGTTATTGTTTGTCCCAACTGTCACATGAAATTTTATTTATATTGAAGTTTTTTACCAATTATGTCACTTTTTAGACTATTATCGTTAATATTTAATTAAAACTTTCTAGTCTGAAAAATATTTTATAGCTATTGTTAACAAATGTTGGAAATTTTAAATTTAGCGCCTTTGCATTTCCGGATGTGTCCGCCATCAGAGGCCACTTTTTTGGTCTCCTTTTTATAACGATCAGAGTTGCCAATTTAGCATATTTTATGCTAGATTTGGCATATTTTTATGTTGTTTAGCTTATTTATTTGTTGTTTAGCATATAGCATATTTTCTAGCATATTAAATATAAAAATAAATTATGTAGTAAAAATTTCATGAATTTCAATTGTAAAAAATAATATGTAACATAATCGAAAATCTTCTAATTCAGAACAAATTTTTATGTTGGCCTTGCAATTACTAAAACAACTTGTAGTATATCACAGTAACTTGAAACTGATATCAGTGAGTCAAATCCGAATAAAAATGTTTACAAATTCACACACACACACACACACACACACACACACACACACACACACCTACATCAGCAAATCCCTTCGCCTTCAATAATGTTTATATTAAGTATATCTGTGGAGGATGATATATTACTATTAACTACAGAATCATGTTTCAGCATTTTTTAAAACAAATAATTTATCTGTTATGATTTTACTGGGTTATGCTTGCTATACCGTTTTTGTATTAGCTGATAATGGAATACTGTTTAATGTAATGAAATTAAGCATAAAATATATTTTTTTCGTTGGTTTTCTTAATTAATAAAACATTTGAAGTTAAATGACGTGTTATTATTTTATTTGATAGATATTAAAAAATATTGGCATAATTTTTAGCATTATTATAAAGCAATTAGCATAATTTTAGCAAAATTTGAACAGATGTTTGGCAAATATTATATTGGTCGGGTTGGCAACACTGATAACGATTAGATTCCCTCTTTTGTCTTATTGCTCGATGATGTTAGCACGCTAACGCCATGTTTTAGACGGAAACATAGACTTGAATTGAGAAATTTGTGACGTGCTACGACAGAACCACAGAATAATAAACAATCAAAATGCACACTCTACTTAAAAAAAATAAGCAACGAAACCAGTGTTGTGCAATGACATTTTATCTGGTGTGCATAGATAAATTAATCCGGTTTAGTTTATTTACGGCAACTACAGACATAATATTCTCTATGTTATTCGTACTTTTAAAACATGGCTGATTCCGTCTGCGCGAACTTATTTTTTCATGCAGAGTGGGCATTCTGATTGTTTAATATTATGTGCCTTTGTTGTGACACCATGATTTATTCAAATTCTGCCAACAAAAATCGTAAAAAATAAATACTTTGTCATATGTCATTGGTGTCACCAACATTAGAATATAATAATTTATAAAATAAACATTCAAAATCAAAATAAAAAACAGTTATGGACTCAGGGTTCAGAGTTCAAATTAAACTAGTAAAAACTTCTGGGTGTAGAGTATAGATCCTGCAAAATATAAGCAAATATGGCTTTAAAAGGACTTAAAGTACTAGAATTTTCTGGGTTGTTACCAGTTCCTTATTGTGGTATGGTTCTGGCCGAGTTTGGAGCATCTGTAATTCGAATAGATAGGGTTAATACCTTTTTAATAATGTTTTATCTTTTTTATGGCTATGAGAAACTGCTGCACAGAAATTACAAAATGTTTTCAGGATCTCACATTGCCAGAATTTATAATTTGTTTCTGGATATAGGCTAGACCCAATTTTGATGAAACTCTTATCTAGTGTCTCAACAAAAGTTGTGTAAAATTTATTATCTAAAAGTCATGGCTATAATTGTTTGTCATTATTCTCTTTACCTTTACAGAAATATGTAGAGTTGGTTCTCTCAATTAAATTTTCCCATACTTTTATCTTGATTGATCCCAATGTTACTATACTTCCCAATACTATATTATAAAAGAGATTTTTCATCAAATTTTTTTTTTAATTTCAAATTCCTTTTCAGGCAAGTTTCTGGTATTCTCAAGCAAAACATTAAAACATTTTATTGCCAAATACCCTGGTCTATTTTAAGACCTTTTCAAATGTCAATATGCTGGTATCATATTCTGCTTGTACCTAGTATTGTAAACATGCTGATCTTCGTGACTTCTAAAAACATTGATATTCCTCTTAATGGATTGAAGATTTTCTAGAATGTGCCAGTACAGTAAGAATTCCTAATCTTTCATAAGTCTGACATCAGGCCTCCACCAATCCCAAACCAGCAAGGATCTTTATTGCGTTTGTCTGCAAACCAAATACTCTGTGAGTATCAGCTGCATGACCCCAGACAAGGAAATCATATGAAAGATGTGGAGTGTACATAGTACATATAGTCTCTAGTGAGACATATTTTGAAAGGTGTTTCAAAATAACGAGACTTTTATTTAGTTTTTTATACAAGTTATTAATATGTAAGCCCCACTGTAATTTTGGGTCCAAAAGAACTAAAAATCCAATCTCACTGACTCCAGCATGCATATCACCCATGTCTCTCATTGCAGAAATCAAGTGTTTAGTTTTATCATTGTTCAGAACCAGCCTATTTGATCAAACCATTGCTCAATAATTGTCTGTAATGCCACCATAGAACCCTCCAGCACATATTTAAGATTATCAGCTGCAAAGGCCACTGTAGTGTCATCTGCATAGACTGTATACTTAGTCTTATGTTCCGTGTTTGGAAGATCATTTATATAAATCACAAATAAAATAGGGCCCAGTATTGAACCCTGTGGTACTCCAATATTTAACACACTCAATTAATTTAATAGCAGGAATATTTACAATATAATTTTAATTGAGGTTTTGTAAATATTTGGTGATTATCATGTTGTTTTTGTTTATTATTATTGTTTATGTATTATGAACTCAACATTCCGTTTTTGTCCTATTACTGTTACCACTTTTAGGAGAGAAGTCAAACTGTGACATATAAAATATATTTGTCCCCATTTTTTACTGTCTTTACTCTGTGATTAGAGCAGCTCACAAAGTGCTATTTCTCCCAGGAAGTTTAGTATATCTACAGGAATTGTTAGGTAAATCATGTTCTATCTCATATGCTCTTTAGATAAAGAACCCTGGAGGTCACAGTAGTTTGAGTTTTCATCCACTACCTAACGGAATTTGCATTCTTCCACATCTCAATTTCACCTACTTTCTAAGTTCTCTTCTTCTTAAGATGCCTTCTCCATTACTGAAAGTTGGCTATAACTATATTGCAAATATAAGCAAATTGCTCTCTATCTTGAGCTGTTCTTAGTATCAAATTGGTGTCCATGCCTGTCCAGTCTGTTAGGTCTCTAAGTTCTCAGTAAGCATTTTTATAAAAATGCATATTTCTGTTTTCTTTAGATTGATACAACCTTTAAATTAATAATTGTTTATTGTCTGATTCCTTATAAAACTTCACAATGTTTGGATCTTTCACAAGAATTGTGCCAATATAATGAAACCATAATTTCATTTATCAAGTATCATTTAGGCTGGCTAGGCCGAATATTTTTACTGACAAGGAGAGACTTTGCCAAACAATTGTTGCTAAAGACTTCATAGCATCTGTCAGAGTCAAAATGGCCAAAAAGTAAAGATTTTTTTTGTGTATTTGTTAAATTTATAATTTGATTTCTTTCCACACCTCTAAAGATTACAAAGTAGTACCAATGCTTCTACTATGTACTGAATAATTGAAGTACAATTAGGTGAAAAAAAGATAATGAATAATTATTTTTAGATTGGATATAATACAGATCTGGATTGTTTAGGAAATGGAAAAAAATCAATAAGTCTTAATTTAAAACATTCCAATGCTATCAATATAATTAAATCCCTATCAAGAGAATCTGATGTATTAATTGAACCTTTCAGAAAAGGAATTATGGAAAAGCTAGGTTTAGGACCAAAGGTATTAATGAAGGAGAATCCCAGGTTGATATATGCTAGACTCACAGGTAATAATTTTTCATTGCTATATGAGTATGGATTTTTTTGTCCACATAACTAATAAAAACAGATTTTTGTGAAAATTTTAAAATTTGTTGCGATCCAAGTGGCAATCTATAGTGATTTTCAAGTAGAAGTAAAAGAGGTTTCTACTTGTCATCCAATCTAGAGTCAAATTTGAGAAGATATCTTTGAAGAAAATGTTGGACAAAATGTTTTTGACTTCTATAAAGCAGGCAATATAACACTAATTTAAAAAACCTCTTTTACACACTTAGGAAGGCACTCTTATGCCACTTCTCATAATTCTTGTTCTTTTCGAGATCTTTAACAAGGCAATGCAAGGTATTTATAGTAGATTTTGCTTGAGTGATAAGAAAATTGTTCTTTGACAAGCAGTATACATGACAGGTATTCACTTCTTTTGTATGTGTAGTAGATCTAATTTACTACTTATATTGGGAATAAGTCACAATTTACTTTAAAATTTGTTTATTTTGATGTTTTAATTTCTACTTTGGAATTCATTCTCAAAATACAATAAATTAAACAAATTTTTATTTTGATAATTTGATAGTTTTGGCAAAACAAATCTTCTAATAATTTAATTGTATCTGACTCATTCATAACATGTGATTTGTCTTTAAAAAGACAACTGCATGCTATGATTCCATAGTAAATCATGAGAAAAAAAACAGGAGAAAAACCTAATGATACTATCCCGACATGGCAAGTATTTGGTATTATATTGTTACGAACATGCATTCAGCGTGATCCGCCTAACGGTTGCATCTCGAAGCATCTCAGACATCGAGAACCATCGATCGATAGATCCCTCAACCGCAAGAGAACAATCCGTCACATATTTGACTTAACTAGAATTAGAGGTGGGAACTTTCTAGAACATAGTAACTTTGGTATATATATATATATATATATATATATATATATATATATATATATATATATATATATATATATATGTAACGAAATTAGGAGCTAAGTTTAGTTGATAAGATAGTACCAAACTGTAAAGTTATAAATAAATATATTTATATAAATTAATTTTATATAATTAATAAATATAAAGGCACATCTCTATTGATGGTGGTATTTTTGATGAGACAAGCTTCCTCAGTTTATCGTGTGGTTCAACCAGCAGTTTCGATCGTATAACTAACACTGTCAACATCTGATCATATTTTTTTCTTATATGAACATTAGTCAATCTGTTTCGGTATATGACAGGACTGTCCTTGCTGACGATTCCCCTCAACCTTGAAATGCATGATTTTTTAATATGATATTGAGCCCACGTCAAGCATGTGCCAGTTCTGAATTATATTTGTACCAAAGCAATTAGGGGGACATCTAGTAGGGATATTTCAAAACTTCATAAACCTTGGAAATGGAAAAAATGAATCCTAAAAATATTAAATATATTAATTTCTTAATAAATTAGATATAAAATATTCAAAACGACCATTAGAAGAAAAACAATAATTACTCCAACTATTTTAGTAATGCAAAAAACTAGTTTGACTCTGTCTTGATATGATAACTCACTGCAGATAGTAGTTTTCAGTAATGTCGGATTTCATAGTTTAGTTCGTAGATTGCAGTGATTTGTTACCTTTGGAAATAATGTATATCTTACAAGAAGACAAACATTGTAATAGGTACTCACTTCGTTTGTTTTATCTGTGCTGTCCCAAACATTTTGGACATTACTTTGGAATTAGCGTCATATTAAATAATATGCTTACATTTATTTTTGTTGTACCAGCTGATGAGGTCTCTTTCTCTCTCTCTCTCTCTCTCTCTTTCTAACCCTCCTGTACTGTTCGAGTCAACTATGCAAATGTACTGTTCAGGTCAATATGACTCAACTACAGTTTACGGTCCTTAATCAAATTAAAATAAGCTAATAGTGCTAAACAAAACTTTATTAACAAAAAATTATAGTTAATTATACAAAAATTATGTTGCTAATGTAAATTAAACTTATTAACAAAAATAAAAATATATCGGCCTATGATAGTGTTCTAAGAAATAAATTGTATGAAGCCATGGATGAATTCCACATCCCCGATAAACTGATAAGATTGGTTAAGGCTACAATGCGTAAAGTTCACAGGCATTTGAAACACATGTTGAGCTGCGACAGGGAGATGCGCTGGCGTGTCTCCTTTTCAACATAGCTCTGGAAAAGGCGGTGGTCAGGGATGCTCAAATAAACAACAGAGGAAACATTTTTAATAAATCATCCCAAATTTTGGCATATGCAGATGATGTTGATCTACTTGCCCGCACAACACACAAGCTAGAAGAAATGTATACCACCTTGTCAAATGCCTCAAAAAATATGGGCCTGCAAGTAAATGAGGAAAAAACTAAGATAATGGCATCAACACCCAACAATAGAGCCAGAAACATTGGCCACCAATCACGGTTCATAACTCTACCTTCGAAGTGGTGGACAAATTCACATACTTAGGCTCCCTGATCACCAAGGAGAACATCATGACGGAAGAAATCAAGCGAAAAATAATCCTAGCAAACAAATGCTATTTTGGATTGAGTAGACATATGAGAAGCAGAAACTTAAGCCAAAAAAAACAAAAATAGCCTTATACAAAACCCTTATACAACCAGTGTTGACATATGGATCAGAAACATGGATCATTTCCAAGGCAGATGAAATCCTGATATACCTCCTTCTACAAGATATATGAGTCCGTTAGATGCAAAACTTTGTATTTACTGTATAAGTCAAACTGAGTTATTTGCAAAAAACTGATAAATTTTGCCAAAAACCTTAGACATAATAAATGGCACTTTTTTGTGATAGATAAATGCTTTATTAGGTAAAATATAATGATTTTTTTCTTAGAAAAGTTATTGGGTTTGCTAGAAAAGGAAGAAAAAATTTGAAAATACCGAGTTTTGCAAGTGAACTATGTAAATACAGATTTATGCAACTAACATTTGCAAATACATGATAATAGTCAACCATTAACGATATTAGTGGTTGTTATATTAGCCTGTTTTCTAAACCTAGTGTGTTAGGGATAAGGAAGAAAGCATGTGGAAGTAAACTTTTAGTGAAGTTTATTTTTATCCAAAGTACAAAAGGTATTATAAATTATAATATGTATATATTTATATTAATTCCTAAACTCTAAGTTCCTCTGGGTCCTCATCATCAATATGATCATTTTCTGCAGCACTCTCGTTATTATTTGCTTGTACGCCAGTATCTATAATTTTATAAAATTTGAGATCCGGCTGGTCTCTCCAATTTTCACCAAAATGGTTTCTAAGGAGAGTGCCTATGGACGATTTATCTCCTTTCAATGAACATCCAATCTGTTGTAATTTTGGTTTCAATAAAGAAATCTTTTTCCCTTTTCGTATTATAGACTTGCTGAACCCTATGTCAGAACGATAAAATATTTCCCCCCTTACCTAGCCATATAATCTTTGTCCTTAGAAAATATAAATCGTTTCGTTGCATTACATTTAAAATGCCACTGGGAAGGTTTTTTAACAACAACGTTACTCGTCTTTCTCCAGTCTGATATCTGCCAGTCTTTACTAAGTCTCAGCACCTTTGAGTGTTTTCCAATTATGTCTTCATATTCTTTTCTGTTTATTACAACGTTCATTTTTTTATCTCCCTTTCTATCATACCGAAAATCCTATCTGGTAGCAAAAAGGAATGACCAACAACAGGAAACGTAAACTTCACTTCCTTGATGTGACCAGGTGCTTCATAAACCAACCAGTAGATAATCATAGACATCATCGTGCTATTTTTGTTCTGTCCACCACATCCATCTGCAAATAGGTGAACTTTTTCGATTTGATTTTTAAAGTTGAATTTTATGAGAGTATCATGTACAGCAGAGGCAACAGCATTTGAATCTTTTGGATGTTCAAACTCCAGCCACACATATGACGTCACATTTGCAGAAGAAAGATGGGATTTCGAATTTCCAGCCACGATGGTGAAATTATAAAAATTTATTTGCTGTGAGAAATAAGCCGCCTGGTCGGGAAGCTTTGGCAAAGAAAGATTTTTTTGACAATCAAAAGAAAATATTTGTATGTTATGATTTGATTCATTTTTTAACAAAGAATAAAAGGCTTTAGCTCTTAACGTATGAACTCTCTGCTCTGTTATAACCTTTAACTTTTCTTCATCTGAATTTTCTTTTCTCAAAATTTCCTTCGCTCTGAGACACGCAGAACAAGCATCTACTAAGGGAGTGCCGAATGATATGTTGTAGTGTTCATTAACGTATGTTCGGAAATATGATAACTTTACGGAATGATGTGGATGACGTTGACAATACATTCTGTAAAGCTTTGTAAAATTCAGATCACATGGTAAATACAATCTAGTCGATCGTCCTCTATTATAATGACTCTCTGCACCGTTCAAACGCCCCATAAATGTTTAGATAGATAATTTTATTGGATCAAATCTACCTTTTGTTGTATCTCCCCCTCTTCTCTCTTTTGTTATTTCACCCCGGATAACAAACGTTCTTACAACACGCTCTATTCTTTCAGAACTTAAATGAGTTATTCCAAGAAATGCTGTCTTGCATACTCTTAAAAGTCCACCCTCTACTGTAGGAACAAAATATTTAATTGAAATTCCATGTAGGTTTGTACCTGATCTCTTGGGCTTTTGACCTTCACAAAATTTCAGCAAAAAATCTTGTTTTATTTTGTCAGTTGTTGAATACAGATTATTATGGAAACGCTGAATGTCTCGCATCTTTAAATCTATACAACAATACACTTTCTTTGTATGGTTACAGGTGGGAAAACCGGGTAAATCCTTAGGTTCATGCCTAAAAATATTGACAATAAGTCCCAAACCTATCTAGTTAATTGTAGACACCTCTTACCTCATAAGTTTCATTACATTTCGTTTCCATTTTTCTGTTTGTATAACTCGTTTTCTCCCTTTTCCTTTTTCACAAGGTCTAATATGCACATGAAGATCCATAATGTTAATTATTTGTAATAAACTTGGTGTGTTTAGTACTCAAATAACAAACAGTGAAACCGGTAATGGCGAATGATGGAATAATCGACATGTGCACATGAGACGTGTCATGTGACTCAAACAATGTAAGCGATTGGCCAATTGCAATTACACAGTTATGCAACTGGCATAGGCTGACAAACACAGAGTTTTGCGTCTGACTCAAGATTTCTAATGCATTTTTCTTAGTAAATACCTTACTTTGCTGCTGAATTTCTACATCAGCAGATAGCTATAACATGTGACAAATAACTGTCAGCTTAAACTCAATTTTTACAATTTTTGCAAATACAGAGTTTTGCATCTAGCGGACTCATATCACAGTTATAAACATATATTTGGTGGTATGGACGTAGTATCTCTATAAAAATAGGAAGACTAAGATGGGCAGGACATCTGGCAAGATCACAGCAGAACAACCCTCCTAGAAGAATCCTTATGTCACAACCTGTGGGAAGTAGAAGTAGGGGTAGGCCAAAACTCATATGGAGGGATTGTGTAGATGAGGATGGTAGAAAAATAGGCGAAGCAAACTGGTAACAGTTATCAATAGATAGAACTAACTGGTGTAATAGACCTGGGAAGGTCGAGGCTCTTTTATAGGGCTATAGCACCAATGATGATGAACAAAAATAAAAAGCATTTTTTTCTTTCCCAGAAAAGCCTAAGAACAAATACCTACAAAATTGAGGTATACTCAATTGATGAATACCTCAATACAACTGAGACAGTAATAAAAATAATGGGTTTTACAAATATGTTTATGACATATACAACATAAAATATTAGTCTTATTATCGTTAACAAGCTGATCTAGAGTGTCCACTGCTCCCTTACTGGAATTGTAATCTAAAATAATTTGGGGCTTTTTGTTATTTCTGTCACTAATAGCATAATCATGATGCAAAGTACAAATAAGAATAAAATTTTTATTCATTTTAGGAATATACACTTTATCTAATTTACTTACTGTTGACAGATATCAAAGTTGACATAGATGCCAAAGTATAAAATAATACTAAATTCATCCATAAAAGTGGATTATACAACAAAACAAATTAATATTTAATGTAAATAAATAGAAACAAAATAAGAGTTAAAAAATAATCTTGTTAAAAACAATTGGAACCGGTTGTATGCGTCGTATAAAGATGTAAAAGGGAATACTTAAACAAAAACAACATTTTTTTCAACACCGTGTCAACACCGCAACTCTCAAATAAGTGTTACCAATTTATGGCAAAATATCAGCGTTCGATTACAGTTACAGTGTATTCCGAACAAATATTCTTCATAAAAACGCTTTATAATGCATTTATACAAATTAAATGAAACATATTATTGTGTATTTCTGTAAGTTAACATTAATAGAAATCTTTAAATATTATTTCTACGCGTATATAATAAAATATGTCTAGTGGCTGTAATGCCAGTGTACTCGGCAAAGTGATTCTCAAAAAGAACACACCTACCGCCTAAATATTTCGTGTTGGTATCATGTGACCTCACGGGCTATGACGCCGATGACGTGCAACGGTAAGTAAATTAGATGAAGTATAGTTAACAACAGTGATATCTTGCGTGAAGTAAAAAAGACGAACTATAAACTTCTTTATTCGCAATTTGTGCTGGAAGCTCTGGCTTAGTTTTTCTTATAGTTCCCCAGCATTGTATTTTTTCTTTTTAGAAGAAGTGATCCTAAATTTTATGATGTAAAAAAGTTATTACAAGTAATATTCTGGCCTTTCAAATCACTACACAAGTCGCACACCACACGCATTCCCAGATTCCGTTCCGACTCGGCACCTGCTTTCTTTCCTGTATAAATCTGCAATTTTAGAACATACGAACTTTTAGTGTCCCAAATTTTTATGCCATATTTCACTGGTTTGCTTTGAATGTACTGTTTGAAGGGTGCCTCTAAAGACAACTAATTGCTCGTCGACGGTAACATTTTCATCAGGGTTAAAAAATTTGGGTAAATTTTCTACCCATTTTCCCAAATTATCCTGATTTTATCCTATTATCCCTTATTTTATCTTATATATCCCTGATATATAAGGTAAAATAAAGTATTAAGTTAATAAGGGGGAGTAAAGATTTACAGTCAAGATTTGTAAACAGTTATAGCAGAAATTTGTTAAAGGACTTACATACTAATTGTTGTTTTTATTAGATTTATTATTTATAAACGGTGGAAATTACAATAACATATAGGTAACTAAGTATGTATAATAACAATGTACTGTTTTTAAGGTCCTGGACGGATTTACGTACATAGGGTGTTAAGTTTCTGAAATATTTTTTTTATTTTAATTTCAGGGTATGGCCAAAATGGAAGCTTGAGTTCAAATGCTGGCCATGACATAAACTACGTGGCTTTATCAGGTCTACTGTCTTTATTTGGTAGATATGGAGAAAATCCTCTTCCTCCTGTAAATGTACTTGCCGATATTGGAGGTAATTATACTTAGTTATTAATATTGTTGTATTATACTCTCTCTCTCTCTCTCTCTATATATATATATATATATATATATATATATATATATATATATATATATATATATATATATATATATATCGACATTAGACACAAATAATTTAAGACAACTTGAGATATTTAAGAAATTTATGTTACATTTACATGAGCTTCAGTTCAAAAATCTCAAAAGATTTAAAATGTTATTATCGCTGGTTCTAAATACACTGGCGGGAGTTTCTAGGAACAGTAATGTCTAATCTAACGAAGTAGTGGCTTTCCAAAAAATATACGCTAGGTCAACTAGTTGAACATAGGTATAAAATAGACAATGTATTAAAAACTAATATTAGATTATATATGTCAATATTTTTGAAACAATATTACAATATTATTACTTGTTGATAAAGATTGTTTTAAATTTAAAAACCGATATTATTTATAGTATTACTAAAATAACTTAGTAATAGTCGATAAAGGAAACATTTGTGGGTATAGAATATCAAAATGTTAATTTATTGGTACGCCCAAGCCCTTGCTACACTACTGATCCACGATTCTAACGGTGTCCGATAAAGATCTAGATGCTCTGACTTCGATGGGATTCCAGAATTACGAGACAAACATATATATTCAATGAATTACTTAGATATTATTGTTAGATAAAAATATCGAAATCGGTTCATTTTTCACTGAGATATTACAATTTGTCCGAGCTTCGCTGATTTGAAGTTCCTATTGGCTTTAGAAACTTTTTTCTATATGTAGGTCTTGATGACAAAGGGAATAAAAATAGATGGAGAATATAATAGATACCTTATTGAAATGCTCGTTTTACAGCCTTGTCAACGACAATACACAATGAGAAATTTCTGATCAAATTCAAAATGGTGCCGGCCAATCGTTTTTACGATTACGTCACTAAAACCTATCAACCGGTACCTTAGTTCAATCAGCCAAATATTATTAATTTGAATTTTATTGTTCAGAAAACAAGATGCAGTAATTTTGTAACTAATGAGCATATTTATTACGGTAAATATTTAAACGTTTCTGGGCTTACATTCATATTCGTCTAGGTATAATTGAATAGAACTTGAACCAGGCTTCAGACGAGTTATTGCTTGCCATGTTTCCATTTAAAAATATTATGCAAAATGGTTTATATTCTGTATTTATAATTCAAAACAGGAAATTATTTTAGGTGGAGGCCTCACATGTGCCTTGGGTATTCTATTAGCACTAATAGAAAGAAGCACTTCCGGTAAAGGTCAAATTGTTGACACATCCATGGTTGAAGGTACTGCGTATTTGGGAACTTGGTTTTATAGAGGGAAAAATACTCTTCCTATCTGGGGCCAGGGAAGAGGTCAAAACGTACTGGACAGTGGAACTCACTTTTATGAAGTATATAAGACTAAAGATGGAAGATACATGTCTGTTGGAGCACTTGAACCTCAATTCTATGATGTACTAATTGCAGGTTAGTTATTTATAACTTAGAAATTATGTTTTTAGTCAAAACTATATGATCAAAAAAATTTAATCAACTTTTCAAGTTAGTAGAAATTGTCGTGCAACTATAAATGTTTCTTGCAACATATATGCGCAAATAACGTATGAACAGTATCTTCATATCTTATTTGCGTTTTTGTCAGATCTTCCGTTTTTACGTTATAATTAGTAACTACAATAATTCGACCTAGAGTTGAAGCAAATGGTCGGGTTCTTACAACCATAGCATAAACACATTTTTTAATGTGTTTTTTGTGGAGTCCAGTTCCGTCTTTTATGTGTTTTTTCGAAGGAGTTTTTGTAACTTTTATAATAAAAAAAGGAAAAATTGTTAATGTTTCCACCAAATGGTATCTCTCTTGAGTAGTGGTGCTTTTAAAAAAAAATATTCCAAATCCTTAAGGTATATAATAAAATGCCCAAACGGGCTATCACAATTACATTACAGAACGTTTTCGGAATGTTAATTCCATCATCAATGTTAACCTGAAAGTATATAACCACTTTAATTAAAAAGAACGTTGAATTTAAAATGTTGATCAAAGTTAAAGCAAGATGTGGTTAATACTTACGGACTATACATGCAATGAGCCACCAAAATATATGGGTCAAAACCCTTTAAATGTTACAAATGTATAGTTGTTTTACATTATTAATAATTACAAATTAGTATGTTTAAGTTACCGTTGGAATTGGTAACATGGTGACGTATGACCCTACATAGGTTATATGGTCCTGACTGAGACGAAGTGACTTCGAGGACCTGTTGATAACAACTGATAAAAATGACATTGTTGACATGTTAAGACGGATGTTGGGTCAGAGCAGTCAGTGTTAAGGTCGATTCAGACACATCAGTCCCGTCATGGTCTCGGCACCGAACCGGTCCTGTTTGTTCACAGAACTATCAACTATACGACAGCTGGGAAACTGTTCCTCGCCTGATGAATGTGAATGCCGGCGCCATATTTCTATTAAAGAATATTTTGTATAACGGATTGTTCGGTTCGGCGCCAGGACTGTGATGAGACGTAACTGATGTGTCTGAATCGACCTTAACTTAAGGTAGTTGTCTAAAAATGACAGAAGCCAGCATTATTTAAATTTAAAAAGTTAAAATTATAATAATTATGTAACAGTATCAACCATCAATGTTGTAGTCTGTAATGTGAATTAATCCTGTATCTATGGTGATAGTATCCTGTATCAATGAAAACATTGAAACAATTGTTTTTTAAAAATTAATGTAGGTAAACTGAAGTATATGAAATTTTGTAGGATCGATAGGCAACCAACTATACATTTGTTTAGATTTATTTATTCTAAACTAAAGATTTTAATAAAAGGCCCTGTATGTTGTGAAACATTTGGTACCTAGAAAATGGTAAAAAAGGCAAATGTAGGAAGATGGGTTCTATAAGATTTATTAATGAAGAGTGATGTAGTAGAACATATGCTGTTGAGATGAAATTTAAATATGACAAGAATGTGTTTGTAATATGATGTTCATGTAGTACTTAACTTAAAACTTAAACATGGAAGGCCCTTTATGTCAAAAAACAACATTTGGTACCTATTAAAAATAAAAGATTTTTAAGTTATAAGTTCATGAACATAAATTACTGGTTATGTGTGAAGAATAAAGATGGTAGGTTGTTTTTGTGTGTTGACAAGTATGCCAGAAAAACAGAAAATTGTTGGTTGAAAGGTGGTTTGGTATGATATTGTTTATAAATTGCTCAAGTTATAACTCAAGAAAAAGAAAAAGGCCCTATATGTTAAAAGGAACATTTGGTACCTGAGAAATATAAAAAAGAATGAGTTATAAATTTGAGTTTAGGTAGGTATGTGAGGTTAATAGACTTATGGAGTGTATTGTGGAAATATGTGGAACTGCAAGAGTAGTTGTATTTAAGATGGATCTGTCAAATTTACTAAAGATGTGTGATGTATAAATATTATTGTGAAGAAAAGGGAAGAATCTACAAGAGGCTGAAGTCCCCGGAGATCCGAAAACCAAAACCTGATGGAAAGTGGATGGTAAAAGGAGTTATAGTAAAAAGAAAAACACAGTATGAAAAGGTGAAGTATGTGGTTGAGTAGGTGAAGATGTATGTTAATGAAAAATTATTTATGGAGGGGAAGTGGAATAATCTGCTCTGAATTTATTTTGTTGAAAAGGAGCATGGAGAATATTAGGTGTGGGGTCAGATTTGACGCTTAGATGCCTAGACAGAAGTGAGGAAAGAAGAGGAGTTGGAAATATTGAACAAAGTTTGAGAGCGCTAAGGACGATTAGTAGGTCATACGAGAAGGATGAAAATTTAAAGTAAAGTTGGAAAGTGGGTTATGAGAATAGTTGACGGTGGAGGGGAAGAAAATCTCGATTGAATGAGATATGGCGATTGATACAATTTGGATTTCTCTGTTTTTCTTTAATGATTTCTAGGTCTTCATATAAGTCTAGTTTGAGAAAGTTTTTTTGTGGGATATTATGAATAAGTTAGACATCTTCTGGGATATTGAGAGTGTGGTGGTGTTCTTTAAGATGTTGAGAGAAAGTGGAAGTATTTTCTCTTTTTATGTGCTCTAAAGAGCGTGAAGACAATGATCTACATGTTCTTCCTATGTAGGTGGCATCACAATTAGAACATTTTAGTCTATAAACACCACTACGGTTCATGTAATTGATGGGGTCTTTGGAATTGGATATATACACCAAAGTTATTATGTACTTTAAAAGAAACATGAATATTTTCAACCGAACGTTTGATTAGATTTCGAATATCTCCAGAAAGACTCTCATGATGATAAGGAAGTGAAACGTAGTTAGGTTTGGTGGTAGGATCCCCGGGGAACGCAGTCTCCTGCAGGTTCTTAAGACGTTTTTTATAGATGAGTTTATTGATTTATCTTTTTCTTCTTCTTCAAGTGCCCTGTCCGTTGCGAACGTTGGCTATTAACATGGCAATTTTAATAGCCAACATGGCAATATTGATTTATATATTTATTTATATTGATATATATATATATATATATATATATAATATATATATATATATATATATATATATTATTATATATTTATTTATAGAACTATTTCCGAAGTGGAAATTGAAACGCCAATAAACGTATTTTTATCTTTAATTGTGGCTTATTCCCAGTTAAATAGTAATTAATTTATGGATGATGTTATGATCATATCATACAATATCACAATAATATTCACAATAATAATTAAACACCACACATCTTTAGTAAATTTGACATATCCACCTTAAATACAACTATTCTTGCAGTTCCACATATTTCCACAATAAACTCCATAAGCCTATTAACCTTACATACCTACCTAAACTCAAACTTATAACTCATTCTTTTTTATATTTCTCAGGTACCAAATATTCCTTTTAACATATAGGGCCTTTATTTTTCACACATAACCAGTAATTTATGTTCATGAACTTATAACTTAAAAAATCTTTTATTTTTACTAGGTATCAAATGTTGTTTTTTGATATAAAGGGCCTTCCATGTTTAAGTTTTAAGTTAAGTACTACATGAACATCACATTACAAACACATTCTTGTCATATTTAAATTTCATCGCAACAGCATATGTTCTAAAATACTACATCACTCTTCATTAATAAATCTTATAGAACCCATCTTCCTACATTTGCCTTTTTTTACCATTTTCTAGGTACCAAATGTTTCACAACATACAGGGCCTTTTATTAAAATCTTTAGTTTAGAATAAATAAATCTAGACAAATGTATAGTTGGTTGCCTATCGATCCTACTTTACCTATATACTTCAGTTTACCTACATTAATTTTTAAAAAACAATTGTTTCAATGTTTTCATTGATACAGGATACTGTCAACATAGATACAGGATTAATTCACATTACAGACTACAACATTGATGGTTGATACTGTTACATTATAATAATTTAAATTTTTTAAATTTAAATAATGCTGGCTTCTGTCATTTTTAGACAACTACCTTAAGTTACACTGACTGCTCTGACCCAATATCCGTCCTAACATGTCAACAATGTCATTTTTATCAGTTGTTATCAACAGGTCCTCGAAGACACTTCGTCTCAGGACCATATAACCTATGTAGGGTCATACGTCGCCATGTTACCAATTCCAACGGTAACTTAAACATCCTAATTTGTAATGATAAAAAATGTAATTTAAAGGGTTTTGACCCATATATTTTGGTGGCTCATAGCATGTATAGTCCGTAAGTATTAACCACATTTCGCTTTAACCTTAGTCAACATTTTAAATTCAACGTTCTTTTAAATTAAAGTGGTTATATACTTGCAGGTTAACACTGGCTAAAAAAAAAGACCTAAATTGGCATGGCGAGCTGCCTCAAATTTTATTATTCCAACGTTTAGGGGGATCAATAGTAGTGTAAATTTAAAATCACCAGTGAATCCGTTAGCGAACAGTTGCGTTATCATCTTGAATTTAAAGGAGAACCGTTTTTGCCCAATGTCTCCGCCATTTTCAACTTTCCTACAAATTTTTAGTTCAATCGATATTTTCCGCGTTATGGGGGAAATAGTGGAAGGGGAAGCATAATTAACGAATTATCTTGTTTAATATTAACTTTACGACGTGAATGTATATAAAAAAAATGAATTAAATGATATTTTATACAATTTTGAACCCTTTCATTTTTTCGCTGAAATCAATATTTGAAGTTTTACGTATCTGGTAAAGACGCGAGCATAAGGCCTTACGGTGATTGGGTATAGAGGAATTGAGAGAATCTTTCAACAAAACGGTAACGACTTAAACTGTTGTAATGGTGATTTCTTGCAATTTCTTCTGTACATTTTACGAGTTATGGATGAAAAAGTGGAAGGGGAAAGGAAGCTAATTATTGCATTATCTCATTTATTATTAACTTTAAGACATGAATGTCATCATTATCAGTAGCGCGACAACCCTTTCTGGGTCCTGGCTTGTTCTAGGATTTTCCGCCATTCTGTTCTGTTCCTTGCTTTGTTTTTCCAGTTGGTAATCTTAAGTGTTTTCAAATCTTGTTCCACTTCTCTGTTCAGTCTCAAACATTTGTTCAACATGGCCCATCCAGCGCAGACGTCCTTTATGAATGTTATGACCTCGGGTTCATTGTATGCTGTGTATAGTTCAAAGTTATATTTTCTGCGCCATATGTCATTTTCTTACACCCTCATATATATATGTGTCTAAGGATTTTTCGTTCAAACGTACCTAATAGGTTCCCATCGCTTTTCGACGGTGTCCATGTCTCTGATCCATATACAAGTGCCGGATTTATAAGGGTTTTGTATATTTTGCATTTGGTTTTTCTTGTGATGTTAGATCTTAGATGTTAAATTAGTCCATTATATGTTTTATTAGCGATATGTATTCTTCTCTTAACTTCTTCACTGACATTGTTATCTGCGGTAACAATGAACCTAGATATGTAAAAATTTTCACCCTTTCGATGTTACCGTCTCCTATTGTCAGATTCTGTAGGTTTCTTTGGCCTGTAGATTTGCTGGCCTTCAAGTATTTGGTTTTTATTTCGTTAATGTTTAGGTAACTGTTTTGTGCCGCTCTTTCTATCGCATTAAACGCTTCTGTCATCTCTCTTTCGCTTCTAGCTATAATATCAACATCATCTGCAAATGCCAATATTTGTACCCTTTTTGTTATTATTGTTCCTCTGGTGTTTACTTTTGACTCTCTAATTATTTTCTTTAATGTGATATTGAATAGAATACAGGATAGGGCATCTCCCTGTCGTAGGCCCGTTCTCACATGGATTGTATCTGTTAGTACGTTTTGAATTCGAATTTTGCTTTGTACTTTAAGTGTTTCCTTTACTATATCAATGAGTTGAGTTGGAATATTAAACTCTTTCAGTCCATGGATCAGAAATTCTCGATGGATGCTATCACAGGCACTCTCCAAATCAATGAAAAGATGATGTGTGTCTATATTAAATTCACTAGTATTTTCTAAGATTTGTCTCAAGACGAAAATTTGATCTATTGTGGACTTCTGCCTGCGGAAACCACATTAATTTCCCCCAACTATTTGTTCCGCATATGGTCTCAATCAGTCATACACAATATTTGACAGTATTTTATATGCCACAGTCAGTAGCGTTATTGCCCGGTAGTTTTTGCATCTCCCTTTTTATGTAGGGATAATTACTCCGGTATTCCAGTCTTGTGGCAGTTGTTTATTATTCCATATGTTCACTATAAGTTCGTGTATTGCGTTCAATGGGGAGTCCCGACTTCCTTTATTAATTCTGCGCTAATGTTGTCTAATCCAGGTGACTTGTTGTTTTTCAGTCTGGTAACTGCTTCTTTCATTTCAGCTACTGAAGGGGGGGGGGGTGTTGTTTCTCTGGTATCCGTTTGATATAGTATAATTCCATCATATAGTGGATCTTCGTTTTTTTTTCAAACTTTTCTTTGAAGAATTCTGTCCATCTTTGTAGTATTTCACTCTGTTGAGTTACTATATCTCCTTCTTTGTCTCTGCACATTTTCTATATGTTCTGTTTTCTTTCTGCGATGTATTTTCTTCTCTTTCCTCCTTAGCATTCTATATTCCTCCTCTGCCTTTCGTGTTCTATGTCGTTGGTGTATTTTTTGATATGCATTATTTTCCCTCTCTGTTATGTTACGACACTCTTCATCAAATCACTGTCCTTCAGTTGATTTGCTGCTCACTTCCTGCAGAGCTGTTATATCTATGTCATATCTATTCAGTTCATTGAGCAGATTTTGGAGGGCTCCCGATCTGTATAGGGATCGGATGTTCCATGTCGCGATTCTTAAATCATGTACCTTTTTCTTGCGCAGTCGTCGTCGTTTGATCAGTCCGGTTTTCTTTCCTTCAACATGTGTGTTTTCCAGGATAAGGTTGTTAGCCCTATGCGTAACCCCCTTTTCGGAGGACCATTTCTCCCTTCCTCGTCCGGCCTGACCCTACTTTCGACTGGGGTTGGTTACACACACTTCTTGGAGGTGAGGATAGGAATTTAGTAGGAGTGGCTAGAGGTGTTATCAGGAAGCAACACCTTATATTGCGCATCACTACTCCTTTGAACCCCACGACATAAATGTACATAATCAAAACTGAGGAGAATTAAATTTTATACAATTTTGATCTCTTTCATTATCTGAATGAAATCATTATTTGAGGTCGTACGTATGCGGTAACGGCGCGAGCGTAAGACCTTGCAGGGTTTAGTTTTATAGGAATTATTTTTATTCAATATCTCGGCCATTTTCAACCTTCCGACAAAATCGTAAAAACTAGTTTAAAAAAATGGAGACAATTATATTTTATACAATTTTGATTTGTTTGATTTTTTGTGCTTCAATCAACATTTAAGGTCCTAAGCCTAACGAACTCTAGACGGTGACGTTATCAGCAGCAAGCGATAAACAGGAATGAACCTACGACCTTAAATATTGATTTTAGCAAAAAAATGAAAAATCAAAATTGTATAAAATATCATTCTCTTCATTTTTGCTTACATGCATGTAAAACAAGGCTGTTTTAGCAGTTCAAGCACACTGAGATTTGAAATGGGCGTATCACTTACATTTCTACACTGCTTACGCGAGACTATCTTTACTCAGTGGCCTCAGCCAACGGGCAACAAATGCACTACTCTCCATTCAAATTAATTTTAACACGAACTAACTGACCGTACGATCATAAGATTTGACGTCACGAATGCGATAACGGTAAACATAAGCGACAATGATGAGTAACACGTTTCACTATTAGATTTTAGTATTTTTTAGCAATTTTCTTCAAATTTTGAATACGCTTTTCTCGATTATTGCTGGACACAGAAAGGTGAAAAAAAAATCAACGATTACAGAAAAAAAAACATCTCTTTCAAGTGATGGGCGTAAAAAGTTTGGTTATAATAGAATGTTAAACAGTATAATCCAATTTTTCAACAGAAGTTTCAAAAAAATAAAAAAAGTAAAACCATCATTTTAAAAGCAACATAGTTTCGAATATTGTGTCCAAATTTCGAGACATTTTGTCGGTAAATAACAGTTCCTAGGTTTTGGTGCACCGATAAAACAGCCTTAAAGTTAATAATAAACAAGATGATTCAATGATTATGCTTCCTCCCCTCTTCCACTATTTTCGAATTTTAATTTACACTACTTTTGATCCTCCCTAGGCAAGGTAAAATGCTATTTTACCTTGCCTAGGGAGGCTGTAAAATTAAAATTTTTACACACTTCAAAATTACTTTTCTTTTCCATTCTTTTATTTATATTATTTTTTCTCTAGGTTTGGGATTGACACTTGAAGAAGTCCCTCATTATGGTGATTTTGAAGAGCTGAAGAAAATTTTTACTAAGAAATTTGCAGAAAAAACCAGAGATGAATGGTGCAAAATATTTGACTCCACTGATGCTTGTGTAGCGCCTGTTTTAACTTTAGAGGAAGCACCAACACATCCGCACAATATCGAACAGAAAACTTTTACCAAGACTGAAGATTTCTACAGCCCAAATCCTCATCCTAAACTTAGTAGAACACCAGGAGAATCCCATTCCACCAAGCCATTACCAAGAACTGGAGAGCATACCAAAGAAGTTTTACGCAATTTAGGTTATTCGCTTGAATCTATAGATGATTTGGAAGCTGAAGAGATTATTCAATGTCACAGAAATTCCAAGCTGTAAAGTTAACAAACTTTCTTTTTAGTTAGTTTAGGTTACGTTAGATATGTACAGGGTTCCAGAATTACGGAATGGGTATAATGAGTGAAGGTATACAATAAGCCGATTGGGTGCCGGCTGATTTATATTAAACTGCTCCCGGAAAAAAATTCTGCAATTATGCAAGCGTTCCATTCATTTGTCTTGCATTTTATAATATAAACATGTTCAATTGCTAATTCTATTAACGCACAATCAGTGTATAAGTCACGTTTGAATTTAATATTCAGCATCGTGTGAAGAACTTTATGCATCGCGCTAAAATTTAACATATATGGCTAAAAAAGGTTTCTACAACTAAGACTTTCTACAAGTCATATTTTTTTTGAGTTCACAGCGCCTTAATGGGTGAAGGATGATATTTGTTAGACCACCAGATGTCAGTACGTATTGGACTGGCTGAAAATAAAGAAAATGTTACGGATACATGTAAAGGGCTGTATTAAGCTAGAATTAGTTTTAAATATTTTTAAATATTTTTTACACAAGAAAGCTCTGAAATTAGTATTTCCACCACCAGAGAAAAACCTATCTGTTCGATTACATATACAGGCAAAATATCAACAAAAATAGCCAAACACATAAAAAAAGGAATAACACCAGTTTTCAGAACAAATAACAACTTAAGCAAATATATTAAAAACAACAAGAGCCAAAATAAAAAACACTTACACAGTGGTGTGTACAAACCACTGTTAAATGTGGCAACTGCCCAAAAACGTACATCGGTCAAACTGGTAGAAATTTTAATAAACGAATAGCTGAACATAAAAGGGCTTTCAATAATAGGAAAACAGACTCTACATACGCACTTCACCTTCTAGATCATAATCATTCCTTTAATGACGAATTTAAAATTCTTCACATTCAAAATAAAGGCCTTAAGCTATGTTTGTTAGAATCTATGCAAATCAACAAATTAAAAAACACAGATATAATTCTGAATGACCAACTTGAGACAAACAGTTCTCCCCTTCTCAACCTATTTCATTAAAGACTATAAAGTGTAAATGCATGCCAAAAATAGATCACTCGAGAAAGGCAATCAGCCGAAACAACTATAGTGATAAGAGTTTAAAATAAATTTTGTGTAAGTTTGAAAACAAAGTTTTCAGTGTTTTATTGTTACATAAAATGAATTTTCATCAAGTAACGGTCGAATCCATCAATTATTTAAAGGTTTGTGGTACTGAAAGGGAGGGGGTTAATAAATGACAGATGTCTATATTATTAAAATATGTCCTTTTTTGTCATATTGCCAAATGGACTATTTTGAGTGGCCAACCCTGTATAAAACGCTTGAGTGGTCAATTATGGACACTTACATTAATAAATATTTATCAAATTGCAAAGATAATTGAAAAGGCAATTGTTTCTTGTAAATTTTCAGAAAAAAATATAACAAAAATACGGAATGTTGCACTCAGGAAGTAACCAAGGAGGGACGTATATTTTATTTATTTAATTTAATTTATTTTTTTTTATTTTAATTTAATTTTATTTTATTAAGAAACACACTGGAATTCGAGAAACTCTGGAAGATGAAACAGTCGGCATAAGAGTAAATGGAGTCTTAGTTAACAACATCAGATATGCAGATGATACAGTAATAATAGCCGATAGTTTACAAGACCTGGAAAGACTCATAAGTAAAATAGTAATGTGTACTAGGGAGTACGGACTCTCGCTCAATATCAAAAAGACGAAGTTTATGAAAATTTGTCAAAACAACCATAATACTAACGAAATCTTGATAGTAGAGGGCCAACAGATCGAAAGAGTAAAAAAGTACACTTACTTAGGAACACTTATAACAGAAAATAATGACTACATTGCAGAAATCAAAGTCAGAATCGAAAAAGCACGTTCTAATTTTATGAAAATGAAAAAGGTCCTATGTGGCAAAGATTTAATATTAGCTCTTAAAGTGCATCTAACACAATGTTACGTATACAGTGTACTATACTATGGAGTGGAATCATGTACGTTAAATCTAGACACAATGAGACGACTTAACGCCTTTAAAATGTGGACTTAGAGAAGAATTCTGAGGGTTTTCTGTATAGATAGAGTTATGAACATTGAAGTACTGAGAAGAATAGGTATGTAAAGAGAAGGAAGTTGAACTTACAATTAAAGAAAGAAAGCTACAGTATCTTGGACATGTGATGCGGGGCGAGAAGTATGGTATCCTGCGACTCGTAATGCAAGGAAAGATAGATGGCAGAAGAAGCATCGGAAGAAGAAGAATTTCATGGCTTAAGAACCTGAGAGAATGGTTTGGATGCAGCTCAAAACAACTATTTAGAGCTACTGCCTCAAAAATTAAAATAGCTATGATGATTGCCAACCTCCGTAGCGGAGATGGCACCTGAAGAAGTAGAAAAAGAAACACACCTGGAACTGCGTTTAGTACTCCACGTAGTGTGTGGTCGTGCGATCTGCTGTTTCATTGCGTTTCTGTCGGTACATTGCTCATCTGTCGTATTACCCCTGCGCGATGCAACGCACTAAGCCCGCGATAAGAAAGCTATGCGTCCAAAAATGCAAGTAGCAAAGAGGTAATCAAAATGAAACAATCACAGAGCAAATGAAAAAACTTAAACTTTGCAGGCACTACAGTTCGACAACATTACGAGGAATGGAATAAGCAGATAAGTAACCTACATCGGTGACCATACAAAAACAACAGAAGCAGTGGAGACATCAGATGAGGTGATTATATTCAGAAACAGGTTAGAACAAAATGGATAACAGTACTAGATCGTGAGCAGGGAACAGATAAGAGGATCTTTTTCCAAAAATTGGATAGAATATAGCATTATACAAAATATAGCAAAAGGGTTAGAAATATACATAATGAATGGTTTAAATCTATTTTCGTTCCTGTTAGTTTATTTAGTTCATTGTTTATGAGTAATGAGAACTGATTCGTACTTATCTAATCGTAAAGCTGATCATAAATACCTTAAAACTAATTCCAGCTACAGTGATCTGATGAGAAAGTTATTAATACCGTATTTCCATAAAATATGAAAAATATCTTTACAAAAAAAGTTAAAATATGATTTCATCTGAAACAGAGAAATAGAAACGTACTTTTTTTATTTACATTCGATTATTTTATTACAGTTTGTCTACCGTCTTAACTTGGATGCCGTTCTTCCTATTCGCTCCGTGCGTGACTGACGCGACACCTACCGCTTTCATCTGACAGTTTTGGACCACCCAATTTTCAGGTTAAATATGTGACATATGTTTGACATTTTTAAATACATACATTTTAATACATTATTAATTAGTTTTTGAATAAAATTTTTTCAGTTTATGTACAAAATAAATTGTAGTATTAAAAACTGGGTTTCTCGAAATTCATCATAATATATCTTTTCAATCCCAAACGAAAAAGAAAGGGAAAAATCTAGTATTGGCAAATCAAGTTTTTCACGTGAAAGAGCGTATAATTAAAAAACAAAAGTAAAAGTTATAATATAAAAACTAAAATCATCAGGCAATCTGCTTGAAGCCTTAAATTATTTAAATTTTTCTTATTTCAATTGTATAAAAATGAAATGAATGATATTTACTTTTTCATATTAAATAACACGAATCCATCTTTCTCTTTTCTCTAATTTATATGTGATCTGTGGACACCTATAAAAATTACACTCACATATTTTTGTTATTATTAGCACAATTAAATACGCAACATGTATTTGTTTACATTTTTGATAAAATTTATGCGTAAAAAGATAGGTCCAATTTTGTCACATTTCGCCGCTACGCACGCTGGCATCGTTTCAAGGTACCCCTACCATGGTCACGCACGGAGCGAATAATATTTTACAATTACATTGAGTATTTTTTATGGAGATTTTCGCTTGAAATATGTATTTCAATCTTGTCGCAGAAAAATAGTTCAATTTTGACCAATTCTTGTACTGAAAATATATACTTTTTCATTTTTATAGTAAAAAATGGAGATTTATTAGGAAATATAAGTGGTATTTACTAGTATTTACCAACTTCTTGGTATACATATTTTATATTCTGTTAAGTTTGTTAATTTCTCAATACTCTCCAAAATTATAAAAAAAAACAAACAAGTTATGATATTTTTTTTATTAATGTTTACACTTGATATATGATATTTTTACAATCATTTCGTTGTTCATTGTTGATTAAATAAATATTTGTTGTTACATTTGTTTTTATTTATTTCGTACTTAACACAATATTTTGTCAGTTTCAATATCATTTAGACCTTCTAATAAAAATAATGACAAAATCGCAGCAACATTTATGTATTAATCCTCGAGCCATCATGTAAAGAAAAAGTTGATTACACCGTCCAACAAAAGTTATTCACAGCGCTTTTAGAACATACTTGTAAGAAGGCAGATCTGAACGAGCGCGGTATGAACATAAATGGAGAAAAGTTCAGTCATTTGAGATTTGCAGATGACATCGTCCTTATAGCCGATCGTATGGGTGACGCAATAGTAATGTTTGAAAAATTATATCACGTTTCCTTGGAGACTGGACTAAAGACTAATATGAACAAGACGCAAATAATGTCTAATCTATTGCTAAATCTAAATATTGTTGTTGATGGAAGAAATATTGTGCAGAGTGCATCGTATAAGTACTTAGGACATGAATTTTAGTTGGGCAGAAATAACCAGACATGTGAGTTCCCACGTCGCATAGGATTAGCCTGGGCAGCGTTTGGTAAATTAAACTATGTATTTAAATCGGACCTACTCATATGCCTCAAAAGGAAAATTTTTAACCAATGTGTGTTACCTGTACTCACTTATGGAGCAGAAACATTAGCACTCACAAAAAAAATAATGGAAAAATTCATGTGACTCAGGTGGCTATGGAGCGCCAGATGTTGGGTGTCTCTCTGAATGACAGAATCCCAAACGAAGAAATACGTCATAGAACAAAAAAAAAACAGACGCCATCGAAAAAATCGCGTCACTAAAATGGAATTGAACAGAACATATCGCTAGATTATCAGACAACCGATGGCCAAAACGTATTGTCGAATGGAGACCAAGATAGGAAGTAGCACTATGGAGCAGATGACGCCCACCAACCAGATGGACTGACGACCTGGAGTGTGTTAACAGTAACTGGATACAAGACAGAGACCGATGGAAAGAGCTGAGGGAGACCTATGTACAGAAGTGGACTCATACAGGTTGATGATGATGTATTTTTTATTTTATATACTCTTCAAAACACTATTAAATTTTTATATATGTTGAATGCTCTAGGAAATTAATGTAAACATGATGAGGCTGAAACCGATTGTGAATTGTCTGAAAGTGAAATGTATTTTGATGATGGTGAATGGTCATGAACGTTTAATACAGTAATAAATACTGTATCTCAAAATCTTATATTATTAAATATAAAATTAGCATGCTGCTAATTACCAAAAATATTATCGTGAAAATGATAGTTTTCCCAGAAGCTAACCGCTGTCAAGTTGTTCTAAAAACGAACATCTGTCGGAGT